ACCATTCTGTCAGCAACATTGTCTCCACTTGTATCAAACAAATCTTTAATTTTTTTTTTTTAACCTTAAAAGGAGACTTGGGAATCAAATTGCCAGCTGTAAACCATTAAAGATGTTTATTCAGCCCTGGTTTCAAGAAGTGAGGTCTCCTGAACTGGAGTTACCTCAACAGTCTACAGCTAAATTACCCAGAAGGACGGTGTCTGATTGAAGCATCAGCCTGAGATTCAAGAGCTCTGGAAGGTATTCTGATTGATTTTACACACTTCCACCAAGTCTTAATTAAATGAAATTATACTGTTTGTGTCTTGTCTTCTTTATCTGTGAAAGAAATGCTCAGAGACTGAACATTTGCAAAGCACTTCAAAAGCATTCTCAAGAATGGGAATGGAATATGTGGAGAAATATATAACATGCTGGTTTTGAACTGTGTTTAAAGAGGTTAGAAAAAATAGAGATCGCAAAAACTGCTCTTTAACTACTAAAGATGTTCAAAGATTCACTGAAATATATCATAAAAGTGACTCCTCTGAAAGAGTACAGGGCATCAGAAACTCGTGAAAGAACTGAAGTCTGGGTTTCTGAGTCAGATGGTCCCTCTCTAGTCTTCTAAAAACAAGCCAGTAATTACTGAATTTTCCTCACTTTTACTTTAAGGTACCAGCAACTCAGTGACTGCAAAATGAATAGAACTTTGTTTGAAGACTGGAGTCAATTTTACTAGAGGACAAGGACTACAAAACTTGTCAGTGGGAGCCAAGTTGTTTCCTATAGCTATCTGGAATGAACATGTGCTGCTCAGATTAAATGCAGTCCTTGATATGGCCACAGAAGATATGTAAAGCTACAGGGGATCTAAGGTCTCCCACTGTCAGTAATGACTCATATCCTGTATTTTCCACATAGAACAGCAAATTCCAGCTATTTATGGTAGAGCCCATTAAAAATTTCTTTTCATGATGAAAAAACGCTGTCAGTTGCCATTCAGGAGTTGACATAGGAGGCCAGCTAGCACGTTACAGAAATTATCAGAGAAAAATACTATAACCACAAGAGAGCCAAATGTTTCCTCTTGAGCCCTTTGAGATAACAGATGTGTAATCATAAGCAGATTCTTCTGTCTCTGAAGATTATTTTATACACAGAAAAAGGATGGGTAAAAAATATGGTTTGAGTGATCTCAGTCCACTCAGTTCTAAGGTGCGTTTCTCATGTATCTAAGATATGAGATATATATAAAGTATATAAGTATATTAAGTATACTTTTTAATCTATCTATAGATAGATATACAAGTCTAAAGTCCCTTCCCCTCCCCCCCAAAATGCAGGATTTAAATGCACCTACACCATCTTTGAACTGGATTTAGAAGTAGCACACTGTGTGTATGTGTGTGTTTGCTGATGACTCATGTTTTACTCAACACCTTCTAGTGTTCCCCCCTTCAAAAGGGGGAATACTCCCTAAATGCAAAGCAAAAGTTTATGTTAGTCTAATTAAAGCCTTAAGAGTTTAATCAAATAATTATAACTTGTCCAGTTACAATGTGACACTAACAGTTAAAGTTAAAATTAGATTGAGTGAAAGCTGATATGCACCAGCCTCCTAGTATCTACCCATTTCTCCGGAGTTATGCTCACCCTTACACTGCCCCTTTGGGTCCTATAGTCAGTCACTTCAGTCTGAGGGGATGTTCTGGTGAATTGTCAGCATCCCAAGTCATCACCAGGAGGAGCATGATGATGATGGCAGGGGAGTTTTTCTCTTTTTCATATTGATGTTTGTCGACGGTTTCTTCCTTCTCACCCTAAGGACTGCTTAGGGCTATTTTTATATGTTTTCTAACATGCTTTTATACCTTTTTCTTCCTTCATTTAGTCTGCAACTCCATATTTAGAGAATTCAGACAGAATATGCTGTTTTCCATATGCTAGATACTTGTTCTTGGTTCTCTTTATCACCCCCAAAACTAGTTTTGCACAGCTCCCAAGTCTGCATTTGTTTTAAGTACCAGTAATTGGCCACTGGGGAGTTTTTAGCCCAGTTTCCAGTACCATCTTGTGCCCTTCCTTTCAAGGCTTCTGTTATCACCCCATGCATATGTTTCTTTACATTAAATCAATACTCTAGGGTCACAAATAGTTCATTCTACACAAAATGCATACTTGTTACTACTACCTATATGAAATTAATTTACTAATCATTAATTATGGCTGGACAGACATACAATTATACAAAGTTAAACAAAAATTAAATTATGCAATAGCCACCTAGGGACAGCTATTTTCTAACAGTGATTAGAAAATTACTGTTACAGCTAATAAAGCTAAAACAAAGCTCCAGGCAGGCCAAGACAAGTCTAGACAAAGCCTGACAAGTCCCAAGGCCTACATTTTTAGATTAACACCAAGCCTATGGTCTGTTACTAGTGATGGTAAGACTGTATTTACTAGGCTATCAGGCTACAATTTTAAGAACTTACCCACCTTTCAGCTTGGATTCCCAGGCACCAGAGCTTTGCCAGGAACACAGCAAGTATTGCGTACATCAGCCTGGCCAATATTATGCAGTATGTTATTTTGAGCAGAGAAGAGAAGGCAGCTACGGCATAGAGCAATTTTCTCCCCTTCCCTCCCCCGTCCCCCAGCAAAACTGTACATCCAGGAGAGAGGGCTTTCTTTTGTGGGGAAAAAAAAGTCAGAAAATGGAGGATTCCAGCACAGCCTGACCAGGTGGCTGCCCACCAACAGCCAAGGAAGGAAAGGAGGCATGTGCTGGTGGCACAGAAGAAGAGGGGAGAAGAAAGTCCTAATTGAAGTATATGATTTAATAGTCATGGTGCCTCTGGAAGAGAAGGTGAAAGATTTATGTACAAACAACATCCTGCTCAACCATAATGCATAGGGCCTACTTGATTGCCAGTACTTGGGTTGGAAAGGCTTCCCATCGCCAATATGACAGGTTTCATATGCACTTCAGACCATGCTGATCCAGCTGATTTTTAGGCAGAAAAACAAAACAGTGGAACTTGAGAGTTCCTACAGCCCATTTGCTAGTTACTAGGAAAGAAAAAGGGCTCATCTGAGCTTTCCACAGATATCATTTTTGGAGCAAGACTGTAGACATCATGGTAATAGCAGATGTCCCACCAGTAGTGTTGGCAGATAAGCAAATACCCAAGACCAAAATCATGTGGATATCACATGCACCTGCTGGATTTGACAATGGAGTTAATGCATTTACTCCAGTAACCAGTAAGGCACGAAGACAGGAAGTATTTACATCCCTTACGATAGTCATGAATATTGTCTGGTGGAATCAGGACACATGGAGAGTCCTAGGCCTCCACAAAGACACCAAAGTAAACCTCCATTACCCACTGTATGGCCTCATAATGCACCTTCACAGTACGATGATGACATACTGAGACCCTCAGGATTTGACCATGGTCACCCTCCAGAAGCGGATATTAATTCATTTGCCCTACGGCAGAAGAACTCTGATATGATCATGCTATTTGTCCAACTGGTACTGGCCTTTGGCAGAGGGCCATAACATTGGTCTTCCTCTTTTGAAAACCAGATGCCCATTATTGATTGTTCATGTATGTAGAGGATTTGTGGGACCACACACAGAACCACTCCTGTGAGTTTAAGTGATATTCTCTCAGAGTAATCAAGACTTACACAGTCTGTCCTCATTGGCAGCATCCTTCAAGAATATGTTGGCTATGCTCCAAATATATCTTGAGACTAGTCCATCCAAGCCACCATCTGAAGCTACTCAGGGTGAACAAGGTGGGCAGCTGATACTCCTGCATTGAGTGTTTAAGCCCTGTGTCAGCAGAGCTTCCAGCTCCTTTTTTTGCCTAGTTTGAAGTTAAAGACAGTCTGTCACACCTAAATAGCATACCAAAAAGGAACAGCAAGCAGCTGTGTTTACAAGACTGTGCCCCACATGGGCAACCACTAAGAGGAGCTTGTAGGTGAGGGACATATCAAGTCCTCGTTGTGCCCAGCGGCCTAAACTGGGGCATCCCTAGGGTCATTCGCAGAGGAAATCCTTTTTTATTCTTTCCCTTTTTTTCAGTAACCCTCAACAAGGAAAAGGTACTTTGAAATTTCCTATCACCTTATAAAATTCAAAAAGGCCAAAGCCTTCTCAGCAAATCCAGAAACAAAGACAACCTAAGAGAACCTCTTTTGATTATACTGACTGCAGGATTAACAGTTAGAAGATGAGGAGCGTAAAGGAAGTTCCTCACCTCTACTGCAGATATTTTTACGTGACTTTAAACTCTTCAGCTAGAGACACATACAGTCCTTCCTAGACTAGAGGCACACTTAAAGCTAATAAGCCTTGATAGAAAGATGGTAACTCTTGGAATGGCAATGCTAATTTTCTGAGGGATCTGAAAAAAAGTCTTTTGGTAACAATACTAGAGTTAGACTCTTCACAGAAATAATAGTCAGTTACATTAACTTATACATCAGTACTATTTAGCCAGATACTGCACTGCTACAAGACCCCAACTTTGCATCTCAAATATTTCAAAACAGAACTAGCAGATGTTCTGTTCCATGAAGGAAAGAGTTCACAAAACTAGAGATGAATTGAAATTCAGATTGAGCTATGGTTGTATAAGTAATAGAACACATACTTGTGAGAATGAGAAGAATATATTTACTTTTCAAAGAACAAGTGAAGCTGTGCATAGCTCTATGTATCCTACATTTTACACAGGACATGCATATTACAGAACAGATTAGCTTTGATACAATTTTATCCAGGAGTTGCTATCTGATGGTTATTTCCTAGAAATATTTTATACAATAAAAGAAATCAAATACAAAACTACCAATCTATAGGAACTTAAAATAAAACCACAGTGATTGCTGTAGTATTTCCGTTGTGAACTGACTGAGCAGTCTATTAAAAA